AAATAATTATATCTATTTGACGCTGATTTAAGAATTTTATTTTTTCGTGGGGGGGATCACTGATTCCAATATCACTCGCAACACAAATACATGTAAATATACAAAAATTTAATTTTAGGGTTACGTCTGAAATTAGTGGGACCTCGGTTATAGAAATAAATTGAACACAGTAATAAACCATGGATCTGTATCTTCACTTTGAAAATATGAGTTGAAGTAATTTGTTAAAAACAGAAATGAAAGAGGATGATGACAGTAAGAGTAATATTATAAAAAGTATCTGTAAAGTAAAATAAATGTAGAAAGCGGCAAGTGCGGATTTAGACAGGGCTCACTACAGTTCTACAGAGAGAGAGAGAGAGAGAGAGAGAGAGAGAGAGAGAGAGAGAGAGAAATTGCTGATAAGTGGAGAAATACGAAAAAATATCCCGATTTTTTTAATCCTTGATTAACTTGCAAATGAGTATATCATAAACCTTCTGCAGTTTTTGCTTCTGACACGCATGACCTGATACATAGCGGGGATTCAAAATGTATTGAAGTTTTTAGAGTTTCAATTTCAAGTGGACAGGCGGTCGATTATCTTTTCTTGTCTGCGATAATAACAAGGTAAGTGAACATTTGTCAAAACAAAGAGTTACAACAGGTAAACTGAAAACATCTCAGGTGTTAAAACAATTGTCGTGAACATTTACAGTGAACCACAAATCGCCACTTTGTGACCGTGCGGTATTTGTTTTCAAACATTCCGAATAATTTATAACATAATTATAATTTTAATAAGAAATCTAATCTAACATATCTTAAACCGATAGATAAGGACGTCAATTTTAATATGTAATTAATTAAAACCCTAACTGAATCACTTTTAGCAATATATCTATATAAAATCAAAAACCATAGGTTGAATCATATGAAATATTTTTAACATAAGTTTGACTTAGCTAAGACCTACCTAAGTTCGTTTTATGTTACGGTTTAAGACATACTTAAGTAGTACTTAGTCAGGTCCTAAGATTGTGCCTAAACCGTACTTACGACCCTACTTAAGTCAAAAACTTAGCAAGCTTTATGTTACGAGCCCTTGGTTATTTGCAAAATTATTTTGTTAAAACACATTCTGATTACACACACAAGTATTCTGAAGTTGACATCAAAAAGATGCTTGAGTTTCTGATTAACAATATCTATGTGGTTTTGTGGGACCAGGAGGTCGTAACATAAAGGCTACTTAAGTCTAAGACCGTGCTTAAGTAGGACTTAAGTACAGTCTAAAACTTAAGACCGTAACTAGAAGCGTACTAAGATTTGGCAATCTTAGCAAAACTTAGGCGGCCGGTAGAGGTGACTTAAGTATATCTTAACTTTCTTGTACATGTATTTAGACTTATTTACCGTTGATTTTCGATGTTAAAACATTCCTCTATTCATATTATGCATTAAAGAAAATAATTGTTTGAAATCGAAGTGATCTCAGAATTTTATTTTTTCGTTGAAGGGGGGGGGGGTGTCAGTGATTCCAATATCACTTCCAACACAACATACATGTAAATACAAAGTTTAATTTTAGGGGTACCTCTAAAAATAGTCTATTAGTGAAAGAGAATTGCTGATAAGTGGAGACATAGAAAAAAATCCCGATTTTTTGTATCCTTGATTAAATTGCAAATGAGTATATCATAAAACTTCCAGTTTTTGCTTCTGACATGCATGACCTGATATACAGAGCGGGGATTTTTTTAGAGTTTCAATTTCAAGTGGAAAGGTGGCCGATTATCTTTTCTTGTCTGCGATAATAACAGGGTAAGTGAACATTTGTCAAAACAAGAGTTACAAAAGGTACACTGAAAACATCTCAGGTGATAATACAATTGTCGTGAACATTTACAATTAACCACAAATCGCTACTTTCTGACCATGCGGTATTTGATTTCTAACATTCCGAATAATTTATAACATAATTATTATTTTAATACGAAACCTAATCTAACATACTTAAACCGATAGGTAAGGACGTTAACCTTAATATGTAATTAATTAAAACCCTAACTGAATCACATTTAGCATTATATCTATATAAAATCAAAAACCATAGATTGACTCATATGTAATATTTTTAACATATGTTTGACTTAGCTAAGACCTCGCTAAGTTCGCTTTATGTTACGGTTTAAGACATACTTAAGTAGTACTTAGACAGGTCCTAAGATTATGCCTAAAACGTACTTACGACCCTACTTAAGTCAAAAACTTAGCAAGCTTTATGTTACGAGCCCCAGGTCTTCAAACAATCTATTGGAATTCCTAAGGGTACCAATTGCGCTCCGTTATTAGTAGACCTATTTTTGTATTCATTACGAAGCAGAATTTATGCAAATTCTTATACGTGAAAAGAAGAAAACACTTGCCGTGGCCTTCAACTCAACATTTATATATATCGACGACGTATTGTCAATTAACAATGGTAATTTCCATTCCTATGTCGATATGATATATCCCGGTGAGCTTGAGATATAAGATACCTCAAAGTCTGACACATCTGTTTCGTATCGAGATATTTTACTTGAAAAAGACGTTAATGGTAATCTATGGCGGGTGTAAGTAGTCAGCAGGGGATGCTCACTTTTCAATGGCACCTGATCTCACCCCCTATGTTTTGGAGGTCCGTGTTTGCTCTGCTCCTATTTTGTATTGTTTTCTGGACTTTGATATTGAATACTGTCCGTTATCTTCATATCCTTCATGTATAAAAAATATAGCTGATGTTCCAGCAAATACGATAATTAAGTAGTACATACACGTACAATATTCACCTCGCCTATAACAACAAGAAAAAAAGAAAAGATGAAACAACTGGATAATATTGAGTTATCAATTTAAAATACAATATTACACTTAAATTTGTGAAAATACGTTTGTTCTTATAATAAACAAAACAAAGAATACTGATGAAAATGACATTAAATTAAATTGAAACATAAAACTAAGTTTTTTTAAACTTAAAATTTCATGAAATTTTTTCTTTTAAAAACCACCAGAGAGCTTCATATGTGTCATAGACGTTTTTCAGTTCTACATTTTGGATGGTGCCGGTGGTGGTAATGTACTTTTGCGAGGACGGCTGACTTTTACAGTTGACGGTTTATCTTTACACTTGGACAATTTTCGGAAGCTCTTCCGATATCACTATTTATCTAAGCATTATCAATTATGTACTGTACCTCCATACATGACACAGGTTTAAATGTCAAAGTAAACCGCCAACTGTAAAAGTCAGTGCTTCTTACAAAAGTCCAATAGTAGTTTTATTCAGGGAATGTTGCTGTTGCAATGTGTGAACTTGGTAATGGAAGAGGTAGCATTGGTTGAGGGGTGGTTCTGCTGTTATTTGTAAACGGAATGGTGCTTCTTCAGATCCAGAAGCCACATATGCCATGTTTTCTTGTGATCCAATTACGTATATGTATCCTTGATTTGCCAAATTTTTCCCGGAACATATATTTTTTTCTCTTCAGTATAAACAGTATGGACATGGACGGTTTTGCTTTGTTTTCTTTTATTCCTTCGAGAAATGAGATCTGTTATGTTGACTATGGCAACTCGAATTAAATGAATCATTATAGATAATCGATGACTGTTCACATTCCTAATACACCCTAATCTTCCATTCTGGTGTAAATTGGAGAAGCTACCACTACCAGTCGTAAAGAAGGCCAAGAAAGCCACTGATATTCCTAGAATAATGGAAATATCATGTACATGTATACGTAGCAAGAATATAATTATATGCGAACAATTGTTATTTTGAAGCCATCGTTATTATCAATTTTCTAAAAAAAAAAAAATAGGAAAGAAGTATGTTCCGTTTCAAATAGGCATTTATTCATTTCAATGTGAATATCTTGAGATAATTTACATCTTATTTTTACACACTAATTTTGTCTAATATCTCTTTACTGAGTAATAATTTCTGCTCAATTCCTCGAATATAACCTGGACAAGAATTTTAAAAAAAAATCTCTTTAAAAAAATAATGTTAAGAAGGTTATGCAGGATCAATTTTCATTTAAGGAAAAGGATTGATTTTATTCTGTCACCCAGAGTGGGTAATTTAACAGTTTTGCTTTTAGAACGTAATGATGGGATAAGAGTAAAGTAAAATGTTTGAATTTATGAGATTGGATATGGTTCAACATATATTTAAATTGGTAAAGAAAAACATTATTGTGTTGCTGAATAAAAATCCTCTGCAGAATTATTACTTATGTTTAGTAAGACACTAACTTGATGAATTTCTCTCATAAAAACAATTTCCTGTCGTAGCATTACACCTGTCACACTCGCACTTAAGGTCGTAATATCCTTTGAGACAAGGATTGCTGCATTCTAATCCAAATGATCCTATGCATGCTTGATAAAAGAAAAACAATGATTATTTCATTCTTATGTATATGGAATTAGAAAATGTATTTCATCATGTGAAATAAAAAAAAAAACACAGATACGAAAGATTCAAACGTTCTTGGTAATGAATATTAGAATTACCTGCAAATTTCTTGAACTTCAAGATACTTTTAAAACGTGTTATGTAACATTGATGTTAAAGTACAACTTACGATAACATTTTCCTCCAATAGTTCTATACGAGGTACAGCATCGAAAATTCCTTATAAAATACAAATTCTAATTTTATTATGTGACTTAATAAATATATAGCAGGAAATGTACCTAAAAAAAACTTATTAAAACTTTTACATGTACTCACTCAGGAGAAACATAAGAATCGCTACACTTTGGATCTGTCGGAGGTATCCCTAACTGTTTTACATTATGCACCAAAGGAATAACAATCTTAACAAATTTGAAAAAAAAATCCATTTTCTACAACTTTTAGATGAGTAGGAAAAATGACTTCCTGACCAAGTTTCCCCTTTTTGAATATATAATTTATTTTTATTCCTAAAAATGCAATTAATATTATGTTTGATTGCACTAGACATATGTCTATAACAGGGTAAAATTAATATAAACAAGGAAACTGATATCTTATTCCCTCTCCAAAGAATGCGCGTGTTTTCGAAATTGAACTTTAGTACATTTGTACTTAAATCAAAACTTTTAAGTTGGGCAATAATTTCTGAACACTTAGTACAGTACTGGGACCTTTATATTTCACAGATGTATGTCTAATGACAAGATATTAATTCGGATACCAACATTTCTGACCTTTGACATTGACCTAAGAGTTTGACTTACTTTGAAACCATTGACGTTGGTCATAACTTTTGAACAGTTGGTGCTATACCTCTTATGTTTCACGTACATTTGTCAAGAAAGGGCTGTCCCCTGGTCACTTTTAATTTGACTCTTTGACAGTGATCTTAGAGTTCGACTCATGATTTAAAAAGTTTAATCTTTACCATTAATTTTGAATATTTGGTGCTTAGAAGTCTTATTTCAAAAAAAAAACATTCATATTTTCATCTCTGACTTTGGAGTTTGACTTTCATATGTGAAACTTAAACCTTATCCGCCAAAAGCTGCCATAAGTGGCATCAGAAGTCGGAAGACCTTACCGTTTTTCTTGTTTCCTATTATTATTATTATTCCCTTTTCATAGTACACGTGATTTCTCGGAAACCACTGAACAGATTTCAAAGATTTTTACAGGAATGATGAATTGTTGTAATATCTCCAAACATTTTTTTTTATTTTTTGGAATATCACTTCCGGTCACATTTTTTGTCCGATTTTCTTTTCTTTAAATTGCCATTATGTCCAAGCATCTTTTTGTTAACCACTCAAGATTGAATCACGATATTTTCGGGGATGATAAAACATCTCTTTGAGTTATGCATGGCGTCTTTTGACTTTGTATCTGTCACTTCAGGTCGACACAGGAAGTGATATTCAATTTCAAGATTTTTTGAAAAATTCAACCATTTTGAATAACGACTAATTCTAACGACTTACGAATAATGACTTCCGGTTTACACCGGAAGTAGTCGAAAAATTAAACTTTCTCCCTTGAGTCGAAAGAAATAGAATAAAATAGTTTATTTGAGTTTTTTTCAAAGATTTTTTGGTACTTGTGACTTTGATGTCAGCCGGAAATGATGCCTAAATTGTCTAAATTCGTCAAATTACATCACTTCCGGTGAAAACGGAAGTAATCAGAAAATTCAAATTTGCGTTTTCTGACATGTTATTGGTTAATTTATGGCACTATAATCGTCCAACCAGATTTTTCATCCCTTGATATCACTTCCGCTCAAACCGGAAATAGCCAAAAATAGCTTATTTTGCAGGTTTTGACGCAAAATTGAAAACGTGTTTACTCATTGCTTTCTCTTGTTGACGTCACTTCCGGTCGAAACTGGAAGGAAGACCTACTCGTTGCTTTGCAACGAGCTTTGCTATAGTTATTATAATAAGTATACTTCTTTATGTAGTCCCTGTTTATGTTTTTTGATGACCCAAAGCGCTTTACATTTAAAAACAAGTATTCGTGACGAGGTATGTAAATACGTATAAAGTTGCAAAGTTGTTTTATATTTTTTTTTAAAAATTGTTCTTCGTTTGATATTGTACTTATTTTGAGATGTTAAGCGCTCTCTCTGTATTGAACAATATGCAATAAGCTGTTTTTTCAACACACTAGCGCACATCACTCTCACTCCGCGCTTATCTTTGATTAAGACTTGTCAACAGCTTATTGCATATCGTTCACAACAGAGAGCACGATGGAGGTCAGACCTTATATTTCAGTCAATTAAAATATACCAGTGTGTATGAGGAAATTACAATACAGTATATTGACGCACATAAAAATGTATTTCATAAGATTGTTCGTATCGCTCTCTCTTTTGCTGATTGAAAATACACTTATAGACCTAAAATCAGTGGATCCACGTTGTTCAAGAACACAGTAGGTGCTTAACCTTACTTTGACTAAAAGTTCTTTTTTAAACATTTTGATTTGTGACAAGCTTTGCTGATAAAATGTGCCATTGTTGATGTGTTGATGTAATGAACTCATCCTTAAAAACACTGCATATTATAATATTGTAATTAATATGTTTTAGAGGTGGTCCCTCCCGATGTTGTTCCGGCTATAGAACAATTAAAGATAAATGTTACCGTAAGTTGTTTTTTTCTCTTTTTGAGCATGAAATATAATTATGAGAAGATTTAGATTTTTGATTTCTCACCATTACAAGAATTCATCTCGAATTAGCCTCCACCTTCCTTAAGATTTAAAATACGTCTGTTTTGCTGTAAATGTTAAATGATAAAATGTTTCAACTGAATCATCGCCTCTTTAGCATGTAATGGATCATTTGGGATTGAATGCAGCAATACATGTCCAGCGGGATATTTTGGAAATAAATGCGAAGAAAAGTGTTTTTGTGACAGATGTGATGCAAGAACAGGGGAATGTTACAACGAAACTACATCAACCAGTATGTGAATATGATATTTAGTATAAAAATATAAGGTAAATAAATTACAAATTATTTAAAAATGAATGGATAATATTTCATTATAATAAAAAGATATTATGAAGATATATAAAAATTTTTTGCTTAAAAAATTCAATAAGTGTAGTTTACATTGAAATATCAGATATTCTTTTGAAATTACCTAAACTTAAAAATGTTAATTGTTTCTTTGATATCTCTTTTCATCTATTTGTTTGAAGATTATCAACAACCATAACAATAATTTGCAAAGCAAAAAAGGGAAATATTTTCTGCAGAAAAAAGAGTTTTCATTTAATAAAAAACATGCAATTGTGTAAATGTTTTCGATAGTTTAATGACTAGATCGAAAGTCAAAGGTCAGGGAATGAATTTTCTACTGTAATAATGATACAAACAAATACTCAAAAGAAACATTGATTACAGAATTAACATAATTTATGCGTGACATGAGCGTTTGTGGATTTGTAACGAAAAGAATTGAGTAACAATATGTTTACATTCATAGAAGGGAAGACATGAATAGGAGGTACTATCAGTTGCATTTGTTTTAAGAATTATCCACTTATTGTATATATATTTTTTCCCAGAATTTTTTTTTCAAATAAACAAAAAATATTTTGCCGAAGATAATGAGGAAAACGTTCTTCTTTTTATAGAGAAAACATTACGGGGACCTGGTGTTATATAAGGAATGAAGCTTATTTCAACTCATGTTATAAGATATAACATAACTTGGGGGAATTTACGCTTTATAAACAGCAAAGCTATTTATAAAAAGCGTAAACTGCCCCAAGTTTTATTATATCGTTTAAAATACAGTGTAAGTTGAAATAAGCTTCATTCCTTTAATTTCTGTATAGACAATGAGACAGTTTTTCCTCCAAAAAGGCTTCAAATTGAACATATTTTAAAAGTAACGTCAAGCGGAGCAATACGTTTTTGACGTTACTCATTGTAACTAAGGCAAGTTATGTTAGAAGAAATGGAGTAAATATTTTACCCAGTCAAAAGATGTGTTACAACTAAAATTAAATTATTAAGAAATGGACTGTTTTCAAACCAGAAAAAAGTACAGGTATGTATGACTTATACTACATACTCAATGTCTTATGTCACATAATATAAAGATCAATTTTCGTGAACTGAAGTGATAAGTTTCTGACTAAAGTTCGGAAGATTTACATGCATATTACATGCTATTTACGTCCACATATTTTTATTCAAAATCATTTTATCATTAGATAATAGCCAAAAAGAAAAGGATGAGGATAGGATATCGATTCCATGGATAGCGACCCTGCTAGGGCTATTGGGAAGTATAGGATCCGTCGCTGTTCTTTTTTCAGTTCTCTTTCTTAAGGAAAGGTGAATATGAATACTGAAACACAATAAACATATAGATCAACTGGATTATTGTATTTATTCTTAGAAAATTTCATTTTTACCTCGGTACAGAGAAAAAAATGGAAACAATGTCTATTAAGTTTAAAAGATCATAAGAATAATGAACACTCGACTAATCATGTATCGAATAAACTCGATTCGCATTTAAGAAGAAAGTAGTTTATATATTGAAAGTTTTATTTTTAACACTTTAATGTTATAAACTTTTTTTTTTAATATTTGATCTTTCTCAGAGAGAAACTTCTACGAAGAAAGGCAAGACAAGATGGTAAGTTACATCAAATGTATGAAATGCATATCATATAACAATTTTGATGAGATTCACACAATACTTATATTCACATGTACTGTATGCCACAGAGCACTCAGGAAGGGAAGATGAAACAAACCACGAATTAGAAGAAGACGATTATGCCAGTGTAAGAGTATCTCGAATGGTTTTGGATGATGGCGGTGCGTGTGGTGGACTCAAAATGTCGAAAGCATTGGAAGGAAATAATAAAGAAAAGACCTGGACAATGCTAAACCCGTATGATCGATTAAGTTTCAACAGATGACAGAAATTGGACGAAATATTTTAGAAATAATGATAAATACAATATGTCTTAGAAGGTTAAATAACTTGAATGATTGATCGATAGATTGTATATTGTTTTACGTCCCATTCGAGAAATTTTCAATGGCATACGTGGAGAGGTTACCATATACAAGTATCGGTAAAGTGCTTGAATTAATGTCTTTACTTGGCACCCAGAGTCATTGAACAGTGAGGGATCCTTAACGTGCAATCGACTGCCGTGACAAGAGGCCTAGCTCTCATCTGAAGGACCACCTTGGATCAGTTGCGGTCAGGATTTGAACCATCAACTTCCCGATTACGAGTTTAACTTGACACCTAAAGGTTGCATCTGACGAAAAGTAATCCTTCGAATTTAGTGTATAGAGTGATTAGCCATGCAGACATTTACCTTTGTTGCTTATACTTATTTAAATGAAATCGATTTAATGTTAGATTGTACTTAGTTACAAGATCCTTGCATCGACTATAGAATTTGCAAAATATGGATTTTGAAAGGAATTGTTGATACCATTGTTCAATCAATTTATTTGTCAATGGCTTGCCCTAGTTTAGAAATTGTTTGCGCGTCGATCATGTTTAGCGTACCAAATCAACTGTAGACATAAACTCCATAGGCAGGTGATAATTGTATATTGCTATCATAAAAAGGAATATAAATGTTTCTGGTAAAAATTTAAATACAAAATGAATTCTATAATATTAACTGTAAAAGGCCTTGATGAAAAAAATGATTAATAAGAAGCTAATAAAAATTGTTTTAAAAAAAGATTTCAGGAAGTTCTTTTAACATTCATGCGATATAAGTATGTAACGGAATAGTATGGACGGACATAGGATGATTATCGAAAATATAATTTGTTTCCTATTCTATCAAGTGTTTAGCATTTTTTAAAAGTCATTTATGTTAAAGTGAATTATTGCCTTACTGTATGGGGTGTAATTGCATTATTTATAAACCAAAAGAATAAATATCGACAAATTTTATATAGCATAGATATTGATTTTCGAAATTTCATAAGAATCCTAAACAAACAAAGATACATTGCGGGTTCCAGTAAATGTTCAACCAAGCCTCTTTCTTTACTCCTCACTAAGACTGTAGTAAATGAAAAACTGTGCAACAATATATTCAAGAAGTGGTGTGAATCAGATGTTGATACTCAAATTCTAAAGAACTTTTGGACAATTTGAAATCACAAGAATTTACCAAAATCAGCAGCTTAATAGCTTACGACTTTTCAACTTTATATACAACCATTCCAAACGATAAATTAAAGTCTAGGCTTTTTGATATTATTGACAGCTGCTTTTTCAATGAAAATGGACCTCGTAAATTTACTAACCTGGTCATTGGTTATTAGCAAAATTCTTTTGTTGAAACACATTCTGATTGGACGCACTTGTAAGCACTTTGAAGATGACATAAAAAAGATGCTTGAGTTCCTGATTGACAATATCTATGCGGTTTTTGGAGAGCAGGTCTTCTAACGATCTATTGGAGTTCCTGTGCGTACCAATTGCGCCCCGTTATAAGCAGACCTATTTTTGTATTTACATGAAGCAGAATTTATGCAAAATCTTAAAGGTGAAAGAAAAAAAACTTTCTGTGGCCTTCAACTCGACATTTAGATATACCGACGACGTATTTGTCAATTAACAATAGTCATTTCCATACCTATGTCAATACGATATATCCTGAGGAGCTTAAGATAAAAGATACCACAAAGTCTGGCACATCTGTTTCATACTTGGGTATTTTACTTGAAAAATACGCTAATGGTAATCTCACAACCAAGCTCTATGATAAACGTGATAAAACTTTTTTTCTATCGTCAACTTCCCTTACTTATGCAGCAATACACCTTCATCACCTGCAAACGGAGTTTATATCTCTCAATTGATGTGATACGCAAGAGCATGATCTACGAACAATTTCAAAAAACGAGGTAAATTATTAACAAACAAGTTGATGAAACAAGAATATCAGCACTCTCGTTTAAAGTCATTATTTCGTAAGTTATTTGATCGATACAATGACCTTGTCAGCAAATACAATTTAACATTGAGTCAAATGCCAACTGACATTTTTCATACTAATTGTTAGTCCATTATTTGTACAATTAATTACACTTATTTCCTGATCATGACAAGGAGTAAACGGCGGGTGTGACCGGTTAGCAGGGGATGCTCACTCCTCATTGGCACCTAGCTGATCCCACCTCTGATATTTTAGAGGTCCGTATTTGCTCTGCTCCTATTTTGTATTGTTTTATGGGTTTCCATATTGAATACTGTTTGTTATCTTCATATCCTCCACCAAGTCAAAAGTTATTGGCAGATTTATTTATACAAAGAATTGGAGACTGGTGTGGTCGGTCGACTGGGGATCCTTATTTCTCTGTGGGTATGATTTCAACTCTGTTTTACGCAAGATTCATAATGAATGTTGGATATTTCGAATGTCAGCTGTATTTTTGTCAAAGCCTTTTCATCGGCAGAGTAATAAAACCCATCATATTAAAGAAAAGTATCTAACATAATTCATAATTTTTAATATTGTAAGTGGTTAAAAAACCTGTTAAAGCCACATTGCGTGTGTGTATTTAATTCTTAAAATATTACATTGAATGCAAATGTTATACACAGCCTTTGTGAAATTTAAAACCTAATTTGTGTTATTTGCAATTGCATGTACAAAAAGATCTTCATTACATTAAATAATTCATAATGGAATCACAAGCAATTGGTTCTATACAAAAACGTGTTTTCTATTATAGCAACTGTAAAAGGTTGTCATAAAAATGAGGATATAGCAAGCGCAGTAACTTTATCTTACGATATATCAACTTCATCATTTAGTCCACAAAGTACCAAGGGGCATAATGCGTTATAATATCAATATGAAGTTATTAAATTAAGCTATAAATGTTGCATGCGAATAAAGACTTCCCATATCAATATGTTTAGACAAGGAACTACATATACTTGTCGAGTAATTGAAATGAAATAATAACCTTTAATAAAAATTTTCATTAATTACAAGTAAAAGTACTCTTCAGTTGTAAACATCATAACAAAAATTGCAAAAAATAAGGTTGTAATATATTTTATGGATTTGCACTATTCGGCTTAGAGAGATAGCAGATACGAGCTCTGAAGATAGAAATAAATCTTTTTACTTTTGTATAAAAAGATTTGGTTAGAAGGAATTAAAGATTCTGACCGATGGGAGTTAGATTTTAAACCTGGACGGTTCTCAGAGATAAATCATTTAGTCTAACAAAATAACGAACGCGAGCTCTAAGGATAAAAATAATTAAAGAAATACTAAAATGTACAGGACATGTACGGGAGTATAAATGTAGGTCATTGAGACAAATCGGCAGTGGAAAGCTGGATTTTGTCTCTTTCTAGTTGCATTTATACAGGTTTGGGTAATATCGCCACTTCCCATTACCTGTTATGCGCTGGGCATGCAGAAAGAGAATAAATAAATAAATCCGAGGGAGATGAGATGCAAACTTGGACATTAAGAGTCTAATGAACTTTTTCTGGTTGGGACCAGGGAATTGGAGGAAGGTTTTCCCTGGCCCTTAAAACCTCTCACATGCGGAAAAGCGACGAACGATCCCGGGAGTTCATAATCAGATCCAGTCACCACACAAATAATATAAAAGTCGCAAACAAATCCACAAAATAAACAAAAATCCCCCAAAAGAGCATTTTTATTTTACGAAATAAACATCATATCAACAGCTCTTAAAAACAATTAAGAAGCTCTGTAGTACTAGTTATCGTATCGGATATGTAGAAAAAATCCATTAAAGTCCTTGAATTTTTTTTTTTTTATATTTTTTACTTTCAAAATCGTTGTATTTGTCAATGTAATAACCTTTATGCTTTTGCTTGTTCAATTTGTAATCGGAAACTAACTTCAAACATGTTATTAATTTTAATATCTAATTAAACATTTAATTTAAACATGTTATAATTATTAATATCTAATTTCAAAAGATTTCATTTCAACATAATTGAAATACCAAATATGTATGAGAAATTGAAAAAAATGAAGAGAACCCCCTCCATCAATACTAAAAGAAATATTTTTAATTTAAAATTACGTTTTAAGATTTTATTTCCCCGTTTTGCTGTCTAAACTTTAAAAGTGGCTTTACATATTTATCAACATCCTTTAATAGCAGACACTTCCTGTTTGTCCAGTTACTTTTTTCAATAAAAAAAAATAATACATAAAAATATATAAAATACACAGGTTTAATTTACATATTTATTTTCTTGAACATGTAAAGGAAACCCCTGTTTTTGATTCCTCGACACCAGAACATACATGTAGCCTCGGATCTGTGATTATGGATATTGCAAATCATAGGTGTTTTAAAACCCACTTTTTGCTGTAGAAAATGCAGCTAAAACAATATGTCTTTTCCTTAAACTTCAATATGCCAATAAAAGAATTGACGTGGATAATGTAAGTAATAATATTAATCACAATAGGACCCAGTCTTGTATTCCACCATATTTAAGTTAAAGACTACACCTAGTATTTTCTTCAAATATACATCGTGGAGATTTTTTCTTCCAATCTTTTTAATTACAAGAAAACTTTACAGAGTCAGAATGTCGAATATCTGAAACATAATCCTCCATCGTGTTCATGTTCTCCTTCATCCTACACTTGTGATCTTGATATAAAAGATACAACAGTCTGACACATCCGTTTCATATTTTGATATTTTACTTGAAAAAGACGTTAATAGCTATTTCTATCGTCAACTTCCTGTACTTATGCAGCAATATACCTTCATCGCCTGCATACAGAGTTTATATATCTCAGTTGATTCGATGCACAACA